CTTCAGCAATCATATCAACAACTATTAAAATCCAAAAAAGGAATATGATTAGTAAAAATTATAATTATTAATTGATTAATTATGGACACAAACCATTTGCTTCAACTTTAACATTTTGTAAAGAGACTGGTTTCTCTTGTAAATAAGAAAAAACATAAACAAGACCATAAAGTTGCATTTTTTTTATTATTATTATATAAAACAAGAGGAAAAAAAATAAATTTTAATTTTTTGATATAATAATAAATTTCAAGTTTATATATAAATTGGATGATAATACGTACGTAATCAAAACTTGTTAAAAACTTCTCGCGGAGAAATTTTCGTAGCCGCCGTATGTTGAACAAAAAATACAAAAAGAATTACCTATATAGCCATAATTGCCTCCTTAATAAATGATCGTTGTCGATCTGTTGCCTCTGTAATAATAATCATTTTAATCCTGAGTCAAATGGCACATTAATATATTAGTTCATTCATTGAGGATCAGTAATAATTACGTCAAACACTATAATTTCAAAACAACATGTTCCGCTATTTTGCCAAAACCTCTATAATTTCATTACCAATGATTTTTGTCACACATTTATGATTTTCATTATGTCACATAACTGCGCATAATAATGAGGAAATTAAAATTATTATATAGTTCTCGTAACTGATTTATATATTCCACTGTAATAGGTTTGACTGTATCCAATAATTCAATATTAAACACCCAACACTCAATGTTGAATTATTGAGGATTTACTTTCTTTACAACAAGAGAGCTTAAACTTAAATCAAATTCTGAATCTATACTAGCTTTATGCTTTCTATTCTTTACCGCTTTATCCTCATCTTGTACAACTTCTCCTATTAACAACCTAATATATCTTGAGTGATATTTATAAATTCAACATTCCAACCTGCTTTTACTGTTCCAATTGGCATATGTCTTGCAAATACTTCCACCACTCACCAGTACAATAATAAATTCCTTCAATCGAAGCTGATTCATCAGGAAAATGGATCTTCAAAAATATGCATAATTGGCAGATATTTAACAAACAATTAGCATGCATACAGCTGTATGCATAATATTGACAATTGTAGAGATGTTTATGCATATAATTTCCATTTAAATTACACATATATTATTATTTGTAAATTATTTACCACATAATGTCAAATATATGTATATTAAATATAATCAAGAAAATTGATCTTTAAAAATGCATACTATGATAATTTAAAATAATAAATTGTATCTTTAATAATTTATAATATAATAATTGTATCTTTATTTATAATAATTGAGGATTCATTAGTACATGTTTTTAATATAAATTATTCTATAAAAAAACAATAATAAATAAACAATAATAATAAATAAAAAACATTAATGTTAGAATTTAATAACAAAATGTAAAATTAGAAATAAATAAATAATGTTAGTAATATAAATAAGAATCATATATGTTAGAAAATAAAATTATGATTAGTAGATAAATAAATAAATATGAATATAAATCATTAATAAATAAATAAAATAGTTTTGTATAAATAATTAGTTATGATTGGAGAAAATAAATTCAAATTTCTTACATTGAAGATATATGTCAAAAAAATAAATGATGATTAATAGATAAACAAATTAGCTAGAGAAAAAGACTTTAAGATAGGTATGCATCCTGGTATAAGATTTTTTCGCCATCTAAAGAAGGAAGTTCTGGATTTGCGGGATCTGGTTTTTGTCTTGCATCAATATCCAATATAGGATGAAGGGGCTGGTTCCCGTCAATGCATTCGTATTCCATAAATTTCAGAAGGATGATCTGTAAAGCCTTTTCCTGCAACCCGAATTATATATTGAGAATTAATCTCTTCCGGACAATATACCTCCAAGAGTGCTATATTCTTTGTATTACCATCCGAAGTAAGCATTTTAGATTCAAGTAAATATTTAAAATACATATGTTCTTCTATATAGCCAGGTTCATACTCAAGATCCGTTAAACCTGCGAAAAGACTTTTTGCCTCATAGCATATCAGCCGATTTGGTTTTTTGGACCTTTTTTCAAATTTTATATCTTATTGAGTCTCGATGTTAAACACGAGTATTTTTAATGTGTAAACTGGTCGGTAGAATGATAATTATCCTAAAAAAAATTATTTGCTCCGCTAAAAAAACTAATTTACTATCCATCAACCCGTCAAACCAATGGCCCCAGCTCAAAACCAATGGGTTTTTACTAGTATAAAGTATTCATAATGTTATGATCATACCGTACTGAATTTTGGGGATCAA